CTTTTTTTTAATATTTATATTTAATTTATATAATCTTCATCCAAATAATCTCCATCTCCTAAGTCTTGTAAATCCAAAATCCAAATGTGTGTTCTTTTTAATGCAAATTTAAATTTCCCACTTAGAAATTTCAATTTTTCTTATTGGGCGGATTTTGAGCTGTCTAACGGCAGATGTTTGTACGAAGTATCTGGCAACCCTGCTAACAACTCCTAATGCACAGAGTTATTGTGATGTGTTCTTGTGAAATATGCATTTCACTGCTATTCTGTGAATTCTCTGTAAACCCTTTTTCAATCATGTTCTGTATAAATGCCAACAAATATATCTGTATTTCATTACTAGTTCAACAAGTGAAGTATAAGGAGTATCTTCCTTTGTCTTGAATTTTTTAATATTTCTCATTATGAAATCCAAGGATCTGGAAAATAGTTCATTTGCTTCTCCAGCCCCTATTAGCTTTCCAGTAGGATACAAAGGTATTTATGTACAATTTGAGACGTGAGGAACTACCTCATCACCCACCTCAATATGTTCAAATTTGGAACAAAAATTATCATAGAGTAATGATTGATTGATTGATTCAAGCCTCTAGCTTCTAGATATGAGTTTATAATTAGGTGTTCAAAAATTTTAATATTTCTTGCTTCTCCACTCACAAGTCACTCTATAATATTTGCCTTAAATAAATTATTCTTTTGGAGGAGGTTGTTTATCACTGAAAATTTCATCACAGTATAACATGAATATTGTATAATCAATCATTTAGGACGAAATCATAAAAATCAAAATAAAAACTTCTGGATGTCCAAAAAATCAAAATAGATATTGATATAGAAGGGGATCTCCTCCTCCCGAAGGATCAAAAAATAATGTATTTAAATTTTGGTCTCGTAATATTATTGTAATAGCACCAGTTAAAACTGGCAATAATAATCAGTTTTTGTTTTGACAGATTTTTGTTATGTATTCGACAGGTTCAGGACTTTATTTGACAGGTTTTTACTGACCAAGTTTAGCTCAGAACCACCATGAATGCTGACTGTGGCAATTCTGACCAGGGTTTGAGTCCCTGAAAATTAAATTTCAAAAACAATTTTTTTTTAATTTATTTATTTAGGAGCTGCGAAAAAAATAAAACACGTTTCTCATTGTACCTCTGCACCAGGAGGCTGATGTTTTGCGAATATATGACATTCCGCATTCTCTTTTATATGAGCAATACAATTATCGATTTGGTTTGGGGACACTTTTCACCGCCTTATCCAGCTACACACTCTCTTTCCATATCTTGTTTGAAACTTATTAAAATTTTGATTGTCATCAAGTTTGTATCTCCATTTAATTGCTAAATTAAGCTATTATAATTTGCTACAATAATTCCAAGATGAGTGTTTTTGGTCGTTAAAGGAAACCATACTAAGTTGGTTATGTTTATTTTTGTTAATGTTGTCGTTTTAGTGGAAATTATGATTTTGGTTGAGCCTGTTTGAACTAGTAACATATACATCATACTGCTCGATTGTAGCAGCTTGAAACCAAAACTATATGAAAATTGTAATGTAAGACAGAACTATCAAAATTTGCACAAATAATTACTTCAAAGATGTGGGGGGAAACAATTTTTCACTAATTCTAGAGTATATGAAGGGCTTGGGGCAGTATAAAGACAAGCCACGCTTTAGCCAAAATTATGATATTAACATTTACAATTAATGGGAGGCTTCCTGTGCCTCAGGTGACTTATCTAGTTACTGCCCCAAGTCCTTGATTTGTAAAGTGATTGTCTCATCATACTTAACCTTATTTATGTTGGATTGTCTTTAAAGAACATGAGTATCTGTTATATATTACTTTAATTAATAGATGATAATTTAGTGAAGGCAACATGCCAACTCTTTTTGTCTTGGGGTCTTCTGAGGAATTTAGCAGTTGCCTCAGTTTTATGTGGTAATGCCCTTGGATTTCTCCACTCAGATGTTAGGAATGTCATAATCAATTGATATGACTTTCTGTTTATTTTCAGCTGGAAAGTTTATCCCAACAGGATCTTGCATCTCGTCTCACAGTGAATTGTGCAAGTTCATATGTGGAGCCTCAGAAGTTTAGTGACTGCCCAGTGACAGTGATGGATGTCTTTGATGAATATGCTCTTGCTCAACCTGTGAGGGAAGAAATGTATAAATTGTATCCTGATGCAAAACTTGCTCATTTGAAGAGCGGAGGAAATTTTCCATATCTTAGCCGTGGTGATGAAGTAAATCTCCACTTACAAGTAAGTTCTATATGATGTCATTGCACTAGTACTGACGTTCTCAACAAGGCATCTGTTAAGTAATTGTAATTGTGTAAAGTTAAAATAACCTTACACAATTACAATTACACACAATACGTAAAAATACTTGCACAATAAACACATTCACAATGGTCTTGCATTATTAGAAAAGGGAAGGAGGGGTTTTTTATTTTTTTATAGATAAAAAAATAGAATGTTACACAGGATTTCAATGATTTAAATCAAGTTATTTCTAACATTGATTTAAATCAAATAATTCACAAAAATATTGTTGAAACCCTGTCAACAAGCTATGTAATAAATTAATTTCCTCATGCATACCTGTTGAAATTTTTAAATTGTCATTGTAAAATATCTTCAAAAAAGCTTATTATTGATATTTACACATTCTAATGTGCTTGTTTTATTTTATTGTTTTCTGGAGTTTATTCTTATGAAATTTTCAATCAATCAACCCGTCATGGTGAGTCGGCCCACATCTTATGGGAAATGTAGGGAGGACTCTTAAGTATTCCTGTATTTCACCAGTCAATCTTCTTCTTCCCAATCATTCATTCTCGTTCTTTTATAACATCATGTCTCTTTTCTCCCTTCTATTTTACTCTCCCCCCAATACTGAACTCCCACCATGTGTTTGACGTGCATGTTGACCCGTATCAGAGGGAATGGGTGTTCTGATGGTTGAGGGGTCTGTTTAGCTACTGCTCCCCTTGTGTTATGTTGCAGCTTTGCAGGGATATGTTATTTATGTATTTTGGGGAATGTCCTGTGTAGGTCTCAATACACTTGCTTTGGCCACAGATGCTTCTAGACAGGTGGTCAGTAGCTGAAATATTCCAGATCAATAGGCACAGAGAAGGTCTCTGACTGAACTCCAGGGTGAGCCCAGGGAGCCAATGCGGGGCTGCAATGTGTCATTCCCCCACTATATCTCCGTCGCAACCTTGGCAGTCCGATGGAGTGTCTTGTTGGGCTCCGTGATGGGTGGGGACCATGGGGAAGAATGTAATATCCTCTTCATAGATACCAAACCTTCCCCCAGCCTCCTTCCGCAAGGAAGAGGAGATTAGATGGTGAAGCTGTTGATTTAGGTAGCCTTTTGCAAAGATTATGATGGACCAACAAAGTCCTGTTTCCTCACCATATCCTGTAGTGATGAGGAAAAAACAAAGAAGAGTGTCAGTGCCATTAAACTGACCAGAGAAATTGAACAGTATGACAAGTTTCAGGCGGTGGCTCGCCAGAAGAATGCCGTAATCCTCTTTGAATGCCATTTTGACGACTAGAAAAAATAACTCAAAATTAAAAAAGCCAGCCTCCACGTGCACCTGTCCTCCCTCCTGACCTGATACCTGTGCAAGGGTGTGGTAAACAACAAGGACTTCATGTCAGAAATAAAAGACCTGAAAGCCTTCTCTCTGGCTGACGGTGTGATAGACATTTATAGAATCTAGTGGAGACTGAGTTGGGTACTCACCCCCCACCTCAACACTGATACTGACCTTCGATCGTCTGTCTCTGCAAGAGAAAATATCACGTGATTTTTACAATATTTTCATCAAGTGACAGTATGAACAGCTCTCTACAAAAAAATCACCTACAATACATGACATTATTCTACAACACTTAACGGATGACCTTAAACGATTAAAATCTATACAAGTCCCAAGTAAAATATTTTCTGTTGCATAAGTTTCTATGCAATTAGGGACTACACCGAGCATCGAAAAGGAAATTAATATTAATTTTAACAATGATATTTAAACTATTATTTACCATTTTGAATGTATAATTATAACCAACCTGTTATAAATATTCAGTATTATCTCAGCTTCTGTGTCATTGACCCCCATCTGGATCGTATTTTTCGTCCACTTTCCCAGATCTTTTGAGCAAATGCTGAGATTTCTCCTTGTTTTTCTGCCGGACACAAATGTAACTTCATTACCGGTACACATCTTGTAGAATTGAATGGGAAATATAATTATTTAAATTATAGTTCTTCATGTTGTCATGGCAGAAGTACGTAGGGCATGAGGGATAAGAACCCAAATCTATAGCTGATTTGCCTTAGAAAACAGATTTTATTGCACGGAGTGAATATTTTGTTCACAATTCTTCCAAAAACGCTTATTTCTTTCTGCATTCAGAATTCAGCATGTACATGGTTAAGGATGAGATCCCAGAATTAAGAAAACGTGCACAGAATACACTTCTCCCTGTAGCACTTCACACACAGTTTCTTAACTTTCGTGGCCTGAAATAAATAAATAAATAAAAATAATCACCGCGTCTGGTAATATGTGCGGAATCCCTTGCGCTGCTTCAAATCCCAGTGATTCGGCCATACGCTGCCCCGTTGTGTGAATGCCGTAGTGGGCGTACATTGTGGAAAATAATCATGACACGATTCGAACAGCTCCTCAGATCCATGAGCAGTAAACTGTTCCGGTAATCGCCCATCGAACTTGGCCATTGCCCCACCTTCTTCGAATTCTAAATTCAAAAGATTCGGTTCTGAGAGGTTTCCTCTCGTGAAAAACGTCGTCACCAGATGCGTACCAATATGTTCGAAGTTACCTCCGTAGGTGTCATCCTAAGAAGTCTCATATTGCGAAACCCAGACACAGATTGTTACCTCTATGCGCAACGCTTCTTGTCAGATGTCCGTGGAAGGCGTCCGCAGAGATGTAGACTCCAGATGCATTGTCCCATCTGAAGCAAAAAAGGAAAAGACAACTATAATTGTTTCAACAAATATACAAATCCATCAACCTGAGATATCGAAGCCGAAAGGCTCTATCTCTCGATCCTGGTCGCTTGTGTCAAAAGATCGTGAAGGTTTTCCGACACATGCAATTATTTCTAGCAGCAGTCAAGACCTTTCTGCTGGGGACGAGGAGTCCCACATGAACTCGTCTATCACACCACAACGAAGGGAGAAAATGAAACGTAAAATAGATTTCCTTTATAAGAAAAAGAAACTTGACACCTTAAAACCATGGCTCTCCTCTCGTGGAATCTCAATGGCTTTCGTACTCGTTTCAAATTGAAGTTGATAATCTTTCGATATATACAGTTTATCTGCCTACAGAAAACGCATGTTCCTAAGCATTCTCTTTCTCTGAGGCTTCTGTTCTTACAGGTAAGACGATGATGATGGCCTCCGTGCCCATCATCGAGACACTAGTCATGGACTCCCTAGTGTCCAAAGATTAGACGTGAGAACCAATATTCAGGTATTCGTGTATATCTCGATAACCATTTGCGATTTCTATGTGCCTCTTGGACAAGCCGTGTCGCAAGATGACTTCGTGACTCTCAACGGCCCCCACTTTTTCCTTTTCTTGGAGATTTCAATGTTTATAGTGCCGTCGGAGGTGAAGCAAGGTCTTGCTAGAGAGGTATCCCTCTCGAAAACATTATAGACAGTTTCAACTTGATTGTTCTAAATACAGGCCATGTCACTTATTTCTCCCCGGCGTCAAATACCTTTTCCCGCATCGATTTCGCTTTGCGCAGTCCATCATTACCAACGATTGAACGATTGTAGAATGGAGATGCGTCAATTTGCGTTTAGACGTTCCCCTCCGAATGTCCGAAGGTTGCTGGCAAACAAAAATCTGATTAGCTCCCCAGAAGACATAGAACAGCAACTGGCTTCTCACTATTAGAAAATCTCCCATTTCTCGCAAAATTCTGAAGGGTTTCTCAATTATAAGAGGAGATGGGAAAATAATTATTGCCGTCTATCGCATTTGGAAGGAACACTTCATTCGTGAATCTTGGCGCGAGGCTATTAGTCATTCTTGTTCCTAAGTAAGGCAAGGACCAAATTATTCCCTTGAGTTACCGACAGATTTCGCTTACTAGCTGCGTTTGTAATATATTGGGTCATATGAATAAAAATGAGCACTTGCTCGTGAGTACTTGCTCCGGAGCAAAGTGAGTCTGCTCCGCGGCACCGAGCAAAAGCTATGAATAAAAACGTCGTATTCTCCGAAGAACTTGCTCATGTCTTGCGAGCATTTGCTCGTTGTGAAAAAGTGACGGTGCAGGCTAAGAGTTTTAAGAATTAGTTTCTTGAGCAACAAAAAGGTTACATACGTTGCGCGCGTCGCGTACATTTATGCAGAGAAAAGAGCAATGTTTTGTTGTATTGTTCTTTAAATTCGAATATGAGCAGTAACGAAGAACAGCCGCCAGAGGCCCAGCTAGTTTTTGCCAAAATGTTAAGCGAATATAAAATTATTTTTGAAAAGGGCCAGCTTCTAGAGGTACGCTGTGGCCGAAATGAAACATTACAAAGTTTGAAAAAACAATACCTCGAAAAATTCCTAGTAGAAAAGAGCGATGGCCAATTTACATAGAAGATATGCAATATGAAAACGCGTCTGAAAGAAAACGCCGATAAAAATCGTACCAACCATACATTATCTTTTTCGAATCGGTAAAGATTCTAATAGTCTGCATCACGAGAATTTCGCCTTATCTTGTAATTTTGTTTAGTCCACTGCATCTGCATGTCAACACACGGTAAAAAAAATCGGCCAATGTAACCTTACTTTTCAAACGTGTGTCTGCTACTAAGGTCCCTCCGAAATTTTGGAGCAAGTGCTCAATCTAGAGAGTAAACGCTTAACTTCATTAATACCAAATTCTGAGCATTTGCTCGCCAGTTGAAAATACGCTCAGAGATGGAGCAAGTTATCAGAGACTGAGCAATTGCTTATCCACTTTATTCATATGAAACTGAGAAGGATCTCCGAAACTCGGAGCGAAGAGTAATTGCTTATGTTTATTCATACCACCCATTGAAGCGAATGGTTAACTGATTTGTCTGGCTTCTAGAGGAAAGAAACTTTTGAACATCAATTCAGTGTGGCTTCAGGAAGCATCGGTTTATTTTGAATCACTTGGTCACTCTTGCTTCGCAGATATCCACTTCGTATTACAACACCTTGTAGCCGTGTTCTTTG